AACAACAGCAGTAACAGTAGTAGTAGTAGGAACAACAGCAGTAACAGTAGTAGTAGTAGTAACAACAGCAGTAACAGTAGTAGTAGTAGCAACAGCAGTAACAGTAGTAGTAGTAACAACAGCAGTAACAGTAGTAGTAGTAACAACAGCAGTAACAGTAGTAGTAGTAGTAACAACAGCAGTAATAGTAGTAGTAGTAGTAGTAGTAACAACAGCAGTAACAGTAGTAGTAGTAGTAACAACAGCAGTAATAGTAGTAGTAGTAACAACAGCAGTAACAGTAGTAGTAGTAACAACAGCAGTAACAGTAGTAGTAGTAACAACAGCAGTAATAGTAGTAGTAGTAACAACAGCAGTAACAGTAGTAGTAGTAACAACAGCAGTAACAGTAGTAGTAGTAACAACAGCAGTAATAGTAGTAGTAGTAACAACAGCAGTAATAGTAGTAGTTGCCTCAGAAGTAGCAATAGTGGTATGATTTTATTGTTATTTATTAATTAATTGTTTTAAATATTTGTAATATTTTTAAAGATTTTACACAGCACAATTAACTTAATTTTGTTTTCTACTCAGCCACCTCTCTTTTCCACACTCTCCACCCCTTTCCTTCTTGCTCTCTCTCTCTCTCTCTCTCTCTCTCTCTCTCTCTCTCTCTCTCCGCTCTCTCTCCTCTCTCTCTCTCCTCTCTCTCTCTCTCTCTCTCTCTCTCTCTCTCTCTCTGACAGACACACACAACTGAGCTTCCACAATAACCAAATCTTTTTTCTTCGAGCTATGAACCTCAACGGAAGTAACGGAATCAGAGTAAACATCACCGATGTTAACAGTACCAATAACACCATCGTTCACCACCTGGATAACTTACTGAAGTTCAGACACATCATCCAGGAGCTCTTAGAGGTGAGTTCCTATTTATGATCACCTATCTGAAGCAACAGGAGCATAGTTGTGCTCGAGGCGTCCTGTCTTCTGTGTTTGGTTGGCCATTTATTATTTTATAATTCCCTCCAGGTCATTTTTTGGATCCCATTCCATCAATCTTGCATTGCTTGTGAAGGTCTTTTGAGTGTATTCTATGGCGCGAATTTACTAGCCTTCATCTGCAGTTTCTTTTTGTTCAGTTAATGGGACGGTCTCCTATGTATGATTCCACGTTGCTTTCTTAACTGTGGGGAGGATAATGCCTCACATTACAGTCTGCATACAGTTTGTGCATGGCATTATGACACCTGGTTCTTGCATGTCAATATGACACTTGGCTCTTGCACGGCAATATGACACTTGGTTCTTGCATGTCAATATGACACTTGGCTCTTGCACGGCAATATGACACTTGGTTCTTGCATGTCAATATGACACTTGGCTCTTGCACGGCAATATGACACTTGGTTCTTGCATGTCAATATGACACTTGGTTCTTGCATGTCAATATGACACTTGGTTCTTGCATGTCAATATGACACTTGGTTCTTGCATGTCAATATGACACTTGGTTCTTGCATGTCAACATGACACTTGGTTCTTGCATGTCAACATGACACTTGGTTCTTGCATGTCAACAAGACACTTGGTTCTTGCATGTCAACATGACACTTGGTTCTTGCATGTCAACATGACACTTGGTTCTTGCATGTCATTATGACACTTGGTTCTTGCATGTCATTATGACACTTGGTTCTTGCATGTCAACATGACACTTGGTTCTAGCATGTCAATATAACACTTGGTTCTTGCATGTCATTATGACACTTGGTTCTTGCATGTCAACATAACATAAGTGAGATTCACCAGGGTTTAAGTATGATTCACCAGGGTTTAAGAATGAGTCACCAGGGTTTAAGTACGATTCACCAAGTTTAGGTATGATTCACCAAGTTTAAGTATGATTCACCAGGGTTTAAGTATGATTCACCAGGGTTTAAGAATGAGTCACCAGGGTTTACGTATGATTCACCAATATTAAGTATGATTTACCAGGATTTAAGTACGATTCACTAAGTTTAAGTGTGATTCACCAAGTTTAAGTACGATTCACCAAGTTTAAGCATGATTCACCAAGTTTGATTAAGTATGATTCACCTGGAGTTTACCTGGAGAGAGTTCCGGGGGTCAACGCCCCCGCGGCCCGGTCTGAGACCAGGCCTCCTGGTGGATCAGAGCCTGATCAACCAGGCTGTTGCTGCTGGCTGCACGCAAACCAACATACGAGCCACAGCCCGGCTGATCCGGAACTGACTTTAGGTGCTTGTCCAGTGCCAGCTTGAAGACTGCCAGGGGTCTGTTGGTAATCCCCCTTATGTGTGCTGGGAGGCAGTTGAACAGTCTCGGGCCCCTGACACTTATTGTATGGTCTCTTAACGTGCTAGTGACACCCCTGCTTTTCATTGGGGGGATGGTGCATCGTCTGCCAAGTCTTTTGCTTTCGTAGTGGGTGATTTTCGTGTGCAAGTTCGGTACTAGTCCCTCTAGGATTTTCCAGGTGTATATAATCATGTATCTCTCCCTCCTGCGTTCCAGGGAATACAGGTTTAGGAACCTCAAGCGCTCCCAATAATTGAGGTGTTTTATCTCCGTTATGCGCGCCGTGAAAGTTCTCTGTACATTTTCTAGGTCGGCAATTTCACCTGCCTTGAAAGGTGCTGTTAGTGTGCAGCAATATTCCAGCCTAGATAGAACAAGTGACCTGAAGAGTGTCATCATGGGCTTGGCCTCCCTAGTTTGAAGGTTCTCATTATCCATCCTGTCATTTTTCTAGCAGATGCGATTGATACAGTGTTATGGTCCTTGAAGGTGAGATCCTCCGACATGATCACTCCCAGGTCTTTGACGTTGGTGTTTCGCTCTATTTTGTGGCCAGAATTTGTTTTGTACTCTGATGAAGATTTAATTTCCTCATGTTTACCATATCTGAGTAATTGAAATTTCTCATCGTTGAACTTCATATTGTTTTCTGCAGCCACTGAAAGATTTGGTTGATGTCTGCCTGGAGCTTTGCAGTGTCTGCAAGGGAAGACACTGTCATGCAGATTGGGTGTCATCTGCAAAGGAAGACACGGTGCTGTGGCTGACATCCTTGTCTATGTCGGATATAAGGATGAGGAACAAGATGGGAGCGAGTACTGTGCCTTGTGGAACAGAGCTTTTCACCGTAGCTGCCTCGGACTTTACTCTGTTGACGACTACTCTCTGTGTTCTGTTAGTGAGGAAATTATAGATCCATCGACGACTTTTCCTGTTATTCCTTTAGCACGCATTTTGTGCGCTATTACGCCATGGTCACACTTGTCGAAGGCTTTTGCAAAGTCTGTATATATTACATCCGCATTCTTTTTGTCTTCTAGTGCATTTAGGACCTTGTCGTAGTGGTCCAATAGTTGAGACAGACAGGAGCGACCTGTTCTGAACCCATGTTGCCCTTGGTTGTGTAACTGATGGGTTTCTAGATGCGTGGTGATCTTGCTTCTTAGGACCCTTTCAAAGATTTTTATGATATGGGATGTTAGTGCTATTGGTCTGTAGTTCTTTGCTGTTGCTTTACTGCCCCCTTTGTGGAGTGGGGCTATGTCTGTTGTTTTTAGTAACTGTGGGACGACCCCGTGTCCATGCTCCCTCTCCATAGGATGGAAAAGGCTCGTGATAGGGGCTTCTTGCAGTTCTTGATGAACACAGAGTTCCATGAGTCTGGCCCTGGGGCAGAGTGCATGGGCATGTCATTTATCGCCTGTTCGAAGTCATTTGGCGTCAGGATAACATCGGATAGGCTTGTGTTAATCAAATTTTGTGGCTCTCTCATAAAAAATTCATTTTGATCTTCGACTCTCAGTCTGGTTAGCGGCTTGCTAAAAACTGAGTCATATTGGGACTTGAGTAGCTCACTCATTTCCTTGTTGTCATCTGTGTAGGACCCCTCTTGTTTAAGTAGGGGCCCAATACTGGACGTTGTTCTCGATTTTGATTTGGCATAGGAGAAGAAATACTTTGGGTTTCTTTCGATTTCATTTATGGCTTTTAGTTCTTCCCGCGATTCCTGACTCCTAAAGGATTCTTTTAGCTTAAGTTCGATGCTTGCTATTTCTCTGACCAGTGTCTCCCTACGCATTTCAGATATATTGACCTCTTTTAGCCGCTCTGTTATTCTTTTCCGTCGCCTGTAAAGGGAGCGCCTGTCTCTTTCTGTTTTACATCTACTCCTCCTTTTTCTTAGAGGAATAAGCCTTGTGCATACATCGAGTGCTACCGAGTTAATCTGTTCTAGGCATAAGTTAGGGTCTGTGTTGCTTAGTATATCTTCCCAGCTTATATCGGTTAGGACTTGGTTTACTTGGTCCCACTTTATGTTTTTGTTATTGAAGTTGAATTTGGTGAATGCTCCCTCGTGACTAATCTCATTATGTCGGTCTGGGGCTCCGCGCATACATGACTGAACCTCAATTATGTTGTGATCTGAGTATATTGTTTTTGATATGGTGATATTTCTTATCAGATCATCATTGTAAGTGAAGATGAGGTCTAGTGTATTCTCCAGTCTAGTAGGCTCTATTATTTGCTGGTTTAAATTGAATTTTGTGCAGAGATTTAAAAGCTCGCGTGAGTGTGAGTTTTCATCAGAGCTGCCTCCTGGTGTTATTACTGCAACAATATTATTTGCTATATTCCTCCATTTTAGGTGCCTTAAGTTGAAATCCCCCAGGAGCAAGATGTTGGGTGCAGGAGCCCCAAGTTTAAGTGCAATTCACCAGGGTTTAAGTATGATTCACCAGGGTTTAAGAATGAGTCACCAGGGTTTAAGTATGATTCACCAAGTTTAAGTATGATTTACCAGGATTTAAGTACGATTCACTAAGTTTAAGTATGATTCACCAAGTTTAAGTATGATTCACCAAGTTTAAGTATGGTTCACAAAGTTCAAGTATGATTCACCAGGGTTTAAGTATGATTCACAAAGTTTAATTGCGATTCACTAAGTTTAAGTACGATTCACCAGGGTTTTAGTACGATTCACGAGGGTTTACGTATGATCCACCAAGTTTAAGTATGATTCACCAAGTTTAAGTATGATTCACCAAGTTTAAGTATGATTCACCAAGTTTATGGTTTAGAGTCTATCGGAAGATACAACTTCAGTTATTTCCAGGAATCCAGTTAGTTTTCAATTGATAAATTAAAAGTTACTCAACCCAGAAACAAGTCAAACCTTCCACTGAGAAAAAACATATCAGCAGTAAAAGTTTGAAGCCGACCAGATAATGCGTTCTCTAGTATTTTTTTATAGAAATTAACAATTACTGGTTTACTAACTATATTGATAAATTTGAGAAATTTGAGGTAGATTCAATCTCTAGTTATTGAATGAAAAATAATTCTATACCATTTCGAAATTAAAATGAGCCAAATGGCAGCTACATATTGTGCTAAGAATATGAAATTTCTTTTAAGAAGAATACATCAGTATTGTAAGATTGTAGTCTATCTGAAGCAGCTTCTTAAAGTTAGCACAAATGAGCTATAATTGGAAATGGTCTATACAAAATTAACCAGAGGACACCTGTGCCTGTCAAGTGTCCCATGAACTGTCCCACATAAGGAAAAGGAGTTCTAAAATTTTGGATTCATTTTGACTTCGGTAGGCCCTTGTTTACATGTTCTTTTATAAGAAATTTAAAAATTGAGGTGTTGCTTTCCACGAGATAATTTCTGAATGTTGCAACAGACTAGCTTCAAGCACATGATGAAAATTTGGTAATAGAACTTCTCTGTGGTTCAAACTTAATGTGTTTGTGTCAGTAGTGTTACTGTGTACTGTGTAGTATACTTAGATAATCCCAGCTACTTTAGAGATATGGTAGCTTGCTAGCAGTGACGTCACGAGACCATCACATGTAAACAGTAGGCTAGAGGCCTCGCGGTCACTTCCACGCTAGGCATAAATTAAAAAAAAATTAAAATCAAAATTAAAATTCTTTACTTCTCTGTTGATATTACAATGTGGGGTTTACATATAAAATATTATTGCATAATATAAAATATTCATTACAAAGGTCACTAGGATGCCTAGGCATTTCGGGGAGACTAATACTAATTCTTATTATATATTGTAAACTGGACAAGGCAAGGCTCGTGGGTTCTTCTCAAGACTCTTAATTACACGTCTCCAAGACATCCAACGTGTGTATTTCGTACTTCAATATCTCCTCACGAACCCCCACATCATGTGTTGTAGGATATTAGTCTCTTCGAAAGATCTGAATTACATTTGGGCTGTGTATGTCTTAATTTGCCAGTTTTACTGAAGATATATGAATAGTAGTCTCCACAAAACTACATGTGAATACATCGTTTAATTACCTTTAAGTCTTCAGCGCTAATATTTTACTGTATTATAAACATATGCTTCACTCTGCACTGTACCTTTAGCGTGCATTGAGGCAGACCGAACTGATGTTATGGTGTACAAGGATACCATTTCAGACACCGCAGCGACCGAAGTACACCTTTTTTTTTTTTTAATTTTATCAATATTTAGGATGCAATAAATCACATACACTTTTTTAATACTGAATGCCCATAATTCACTTGTTAAATATCTACAAAATACACTTTAAAAAAGGAATGTTCAAGAGCTTGAAAACATTAAGAGTACGATTTCCCGTTGTAAACATCCAGCAGCATCTGAATGGTTATTTCCCGTTGTAAACATCCAGCAGCATCTGAATGGTTATTTCCCGTTGTAAACATCCAGCAGCATCTGAATGGTTATTTCCCGTTGTAAACATCCAGCAGCATCTGAATGGTTATTTCCCGTTGTAAACATCCAGCAGCATCTGAATGGTTATTTCCCGTTGTAAACATCCAGCAGCATCTGAATGGTTATTTCCCGTTGTAAACATCCAGCAGCATCTGAATGGTTATTTCCCGTTGTAAACACCAGCAGCATCTGAAGGTTATTTCCCCGTTGTAAACATCCAGCAGCATCTGAATGGTTATTTCCCGTTGAAAAACATCCAGCAGCATCTGAATGGTATTTCCCGTTTGTAAACATCCAGCAGCATCTGAATGGTTATTTCCCGTTGTAAACATCCAGCAGCATCTGAATGGTTATTTCCCGTTGCTGGGGTGATTTTGGCTGTATAACCCTTGTTGTTTAGCGTTTCTTTTTCCTTTTAATAATGATGGTGTGATTTTGTTAAAGACAGATCATTCTACATTATCGTTGCTATCTGAGTGTCGCCAGAGACTTACAGTCTGAGTGTCGCCAGACTTACAGTCTGAGTGTCTCCAGAGATTTACAGTCTGAGTGTCGCCAGAGACTTACAGTCTTGAGTGTCGCCAGAGACTTACAGTCTGAGTGTCGCCAGAGACTTACAGTCTGAGTGCCGTCAGAGACTTACAGTCTTGAGTGTCGCCAGAGACTTACAGTCTGAGTGTCGCCAGAGACTTACAGTCTGAGTGTCGCCAGAGACTTACAGTCTGAGTGTCGCCAGAGACTTACAGTCTGAATGTCGCCAGAGACTTAAAGAGACCTAGAAATCTGTTAAGGTTGGAAGGCCGCCCAGAGAATTCAGACAAAAACAAGCGCTTCTCGTCATTTTCACCTCCTATTTTGGGACACTTCCAATACTCACACTGACCTGACTCACGGCTGTTTCCCGAGAACGTCGTCAGTACTAATGGTCGATTTCAAGAAACAGCCAGTAGAGATCTCATTGCCATCGTTTACGTCAACCAATATTCAGTAATTCAACCAATTTTCTATTCAGCACATCTCATTTGTAATTCAAATCAGAGGCCAAAACTCACTTTGTGGACTAATCTGCAACATCATCCTGTCCTCCCCAAGCCTCGTCTCGGACCGAGAAACTCTCGCTACCGAATTCTTATTCGCACATAAATGTCCAGTTGCTCGAATGGTAGCGCACGCAGCTCACACACTGAGTGTCCGTGTTTCGATCCACGGTACGGGTTTCCTTACACATGCTGTCCCTGTTCACCTAGCAATAAAAAGGTACCTGGGTGTTGGCCGACCAGTGTGAGTTGCATCCTGGGGGGGGTTACATAACCTAGACAGAACTGGGTTTTAAAATGAGCTGAGGAAAGATAACAGCTCATAGTCCGTAAATTTTATTTGTGTAACAAAAAAATCGTAGTTTCCACCTTATTCTCGTCCCAATGATTGAAAAAAAAAATATGTTTTAGAGCATCGTAGTTGAAATTAACCCAGTTAAAACCCGGTATAATACATTAAATGCTTTGACTTTGCCTATAAAAGACCCAAAAAAAAATGTGAACTGTCTTATCTGGAAAACTAAATAGGATAAAAAAAAAAGCGACAACAGTTTTGGAATCAACGTCACAAAATTACATACACACTAAAAATTTTTAAAGATGAAAAAATTTTTTTTTGACCCAGATTTTGGGATATTTATTTGACCCGATATAGGATATTTCATGTGCCCGATTATGAATTTCTGTTGACCCAGATTATGGATTTTCATGTAAAGTAAAAGGACACAAGTGCAACAATGTGACATTTTTTGTGGCAAACGTTTTTTTCCTCTCCAGGAGCTTTTTCAAGCCCTTCAAAAAATACATGACACAGAGGGGATATAAAGGTCAGAGGGGTAAAACTAGGAGGTACCCTTTTTGATGTTCACTAGTGGTAGTAGTATGAACATCGAAATGGTACCTCACTAGTATTCACCCCACTCGGCCTTTATAACCCCCTGTGTCCATGTATTTTTTGTAATGGAAGAACAATGCAACAGTTAGGGATCTTTTTTCGAAAATTTCGCCTCACAGAGGCTTCTTTATCGAGTACAGAAAAAATTTATAAACAGAAGTACTTGAAGACGAGAATCAGTCCTCACCCCTTTAAAATTTGGGGGGTCATCCTCATTGGGGAAAAGCATTTTTCCGTTGTCTGAAACGGAACAATGCTCTTCTCCAGACTGAGGGACTGACCACCTCAAAACTCTAAGGGTGATGGACTGATTACATCGTCTTCAAGTATCTTCTGCTTCTATCAACTTTTCTGTACTCGACTGAAGAAGCCTACTGTGTAGGCGAAACGTTTCGAAATAAAGATACCTAACTGTTGCATATGTGTCTTACCTAACAATCTGTCGGTATTTTATACCATTTTAATGTTCATTGTTTGTAATGGCTTGATAAAGCTCCTGGAGAGCGAAACGTTGCCACAATAAATGTCACATTAGTTGCACTTGTGTCCTTTTACTTTACATATTGTCGGTAATTCTACCAACTTTATTACAGGATATTTCATGTTGACCCAGATTATAGGATATTTCATGTTGACCCAGATTATAGGATATTTCATGTGTAACAAAAAAATCGTAGTTTCCACCTTATTCTCGTCCCAATGATTGAAAAAAAAAATATGTTTTAGAGCATCGTAGTTGAAATTAACCCAGTTAAAACCCGGTATAATACATTAAATGCTTTGACTTTGCCTATAAAAGACCCAAAAAAAAAAATGTGAACTGTCTTATCTGGAAAACTAAATAGGATAAAAAAAAAAGCGACAACAGTTTTGGAATCAACGTCACAAAATCTACATAGCACACTAAGAATTATCTAAGATGCAAATTCGTTTTTGACCCAGATTATAGGATATTTCATGTTGACCCAGATTATAGGATATTTCATGTTGACCCAGATTATAGGATATTTCATGTTGACCCAGATTATAGGATATTTCATGTTGACCCAGATTATAGGATATTTCATGTTGACCCAGATTATAGGATATTTCATGTTGACCCAGATTATAGGATATTTCATGTTGATCCAGATTATAGGATATTTCATGTTGACCCAGATTATAGGATATTTCATGTTGACCCAGATTATAGGATATTTCATGTTGACCCAGATTATAGGATATTTCATGTTGACCCAGATTATAGGATATTTCATGTTGACCCAGATTATAGGATATTTCATGTTGACTCAGATTATAGGATATTTCATGTTGATCCAGATTATAGGATATTTCATGTTGACCCAGATTATAGGATATTTCATGTTGACCCAGATTATAGGATATTTCATGTTGATCCAGATTATAGGATATTTCATGTTGACCCAGATTATAGGATATTTCATGTTGACCCAGATTATAGGATATTTCATGTTGACCCAGATTATAGGATATTTCATGTTGACCCAGATTATAGGATATTTCATGTTGACCCAGATTATAGGATATTTCATGTTGATCTTTGTGTCACAATTCCGTCGTCTCTGAGTAGCTAAGGTAGTTAATTAGTCAGTAATACAGTGCCTCCTGACACCGGCCTCATTCTGGATTACTTCCAGCTAGTTTTTCAACCTATTTAAAATTCGAAGAATTGCATGAGCAAGAAATGTGCAACAGTTGGGTATCTTCATTGCTGAAACGTTTCGCCTCCGCGGTAGATTTCTTCAGTCAAATAAAGAGGATAATGTGCTGTAGGCAGCAGGAGTAGAGGTAAAGTAAACTTGTTGTAATCTGTCCATCAATTTTGGAGACATAATTTGAGGTAATCTGTCCCTCAGTCTGGAGCTGAACTCTTCCCCAGGCTGAGGGACTGACCACTTCAAACTATTTCTCCAAAATTGACGGACTGATCATCCTTACTTTGCCACTACTCATACTGCCTACTATGCATTATCCTCTGTATTCGACTAAAGAAGCCTACCGTATAAGTGATACGTTTAAACAATAAATCTACCCAGCTGTTCCACATGTGTCTCAATTATCAACTTGTCTGTATTTTATAACAATTTCAACATATTGTATCCTAAGGTAAGTTATTCTGAAGACATGTTCTGATATTATAATTTGTTTTCTAGAGTCACTGCAAGAATGCCACGTCCAGTGTCGTACGTGAATTGAAGATCATTTTGAAGACCAACAATGAGACAGGTGTCTCGCACAAGGTATTTACAATAACAATGAAAAAAAAAGGTTATAAATGACCATAATTTTTAAAGGGGTGGACCGGTAAGCCAGCGGAAGGCCTCGGTCAGATGACCAAAAGCTCCAAAGGCGGGTCATCATCTAACTAAGACCCGCGTCAGGAAACACTTGTCCTGTTTCCTGACGAACCTTACCTAACCTAACCTAATGAAAAAAACGTATGATAAATTTTGTATTTTTTATGGAGGGAAACACTTACAAAAAATATTAAGTAGCATTGACATACAGCTTTGCACTTGCTGTCCCTGTTCGCCTGTCAGTAAGTAGGTACCTGGGTGCTAGCCGACTGGTGTGCGTGGCTTCCTGGGGGGTTGTACAATACCTAAGATATGGCTGGTTTTTTTTTAATGAATTGAGGTAAGATAACTTGTGTAAAAATAAAAAGTAAATAAAAATTTAGACCCTTGTGCCCAGTTTGTTTCTCTCAAATAAATTAATCTTTGGTATTCATCAAAACATTCATTTTCCTTCATCCGTGGCAGATACTAATTATCGAGGGCTATTTGACAAATGCAAAAATGAAAAATTCTGCTCGTTATGGAAGCTATACTTGTTGTATAATAAGATATAACCTTAATAACTAGATTATACATCACTACGTGCCGAAACGTAAAAAAAAAAAAAATCCAGAGATTGTTAGAAACTCACAGATATTCAATAAATGATTCACAGGTATTTACTCCTAGAGATTTATTTCTCTCAGTGTATATATGCTCGTAGTTTACTCTAATCCCCATTTTAGGGATTAACATATTTTTGTCTGGTGGTGAAAACGTTACTTGAAGCCTCAGCGACCTTAGTACTTTTATTTATAATATATTTTTACAATTCTCATTGGACATTCTGTTGTCCGTCTCTGTATTCCTTAATAAGTGGACAGTTATTAAGTAGTACTCAAGAAAGAGTCAATATGGCTGACAACATACAAGCCTTGGACTGCCAGGTACATCAGTCTCCTTACAAGTTGAACAGTAAATATGCTGATTTACATTCATGTTAACATACTAAGTTAACGATCTACTCAGGTTTGCAACTGTGTTTGTATGTAACGTTTACCATCGAAGGTAAGTGCACGATAGGATTTAATAAGGGAAAGATTCTTAGGAAATCGTCAACATTGACCCAATGAAAGTTAAGACACTTGTGCAACATCTGGTTATCTTTATTATATACGTTTCGCCATCCAGTGGCTTTATCAATACAGATTCTTGGACATAATTAGAAAACAGAAGAACTGTATACAAAAGATGAGGTAATCAATCCCTCAGCCTTGGAGGTGGTGTTTACAGCACCATGGTTGTAGAGATTCTGAAGCACAGGTAAGGAGACTGGCGCTTACATAGGCGTCAGTGAATAGGGACGTGTAGCAGACCTGTCTTGCACAACATTGACCCAGCTCAACTTTTGAATACGGGGATTTAGTCTTGAACCTAAGGCTGTGAATAGGAATAGTTAATTACATGGAAATGATAATCATTTAAACTCCACTGAACCATAGTACCGAATATACTGAATACTCTTGATCCACTATAGTAAAACGTCAACACAGAAGACCAACCGAACTATTGGTTGCAACCCTTGCTTTAAGGACCGGCATCTTTTAAATACCTGCAGTTTACCTTACTCTACGTAGCAATGGAGGTGAAGTGTCGAGAGTTGACTACTTATGGAGATGTGTCGAAGAGGTGTCAACACCTCTCCACCAGATCAGAAGTCCGACACCAGATCAGAAGTCTGACACCAGATCAAAAGTCCGACACCAGATCAGAAGTCCGACACCAGATCAGAAGTCCGACACCAGATCAGAGTCCGACACCAGATCAGAAGTCCGACACCAGATCAGAAGTCCGACACCAGATCAAAAGTCCGACACCAGATCAGAAGTCCGACACCAGATCAGAAGTCCGACACCAGATCAAAAGTCCGACACCAGATCAGAAGTCCGACACCAGATCAGAAGTCCGACACCAGATCAGAAGTCCGACACCAGATCAGAAGTCCGACATCAGATCAAAGTCCGACACCAGATCAGAGTCCGACACCAGATCAGAAGTCCGACACCAGATCAGAAGTCCGACACCAGATCAGAAGTCCGACACCAAATCAGAAGTCTAACATCAGATAAGAAGTCCGACACCAGATAAGAAGTCCGACACCAGATCAGAGTCCGACACCAGATCAGAAGATCAGATAAGAAGTCCGACACCAGATAAGAAGTCCGACACCAGATCAGAGTCCGACACCAGATCAGAAGTCCGACACCAGATCAGAAGTCCGACACCAGATCAGAAGTCCGACACCAGATCAGAAGTCCGACACCAGATAAGAAGCCCGACACCAGACCAGAAGTCCGACACCAGATCAGAAGTCCGACACCAGATCAGAAGTCCGACACCAGATCAGAAGTCCGACACCAGATAAGAAGTCCGACACCAGATCAGAGTCCGACACCAGATCAGAAGATCAGATAAGAAGTCCGACACCAGATAAGAAGTCCGACACCAGATCAGAGTCCGACACCAGATCAGAAGTCCGACACCAGATCAGAAGTCCGACACCAGATCAGAAGTCCGACACCAGATCAGAAGTCCGACACCAGATAAGAAGCCCGACACCAGACCAGAAGTCCGACACCAGATCAGAAGTCCGACACCAGATCAGAAGTCCGACACCAGATCAGAAGTCCGACACCAGATCAGAAGTCCGACACCAGACCAGAAGTCCGACACCAGATCAGAACAAGTCATCGAATATTTGATTTGAGTCGCCCTCATCTGTGTAACTTAAATTAGGTATTATCGCTATAGCGATAAGGAGGCCTGGTCACAGACCGGGCCGCGGGGGCGTTGACCCCCGGAACTCTCTCCAGGTAAACTCCAGGTAAATAGCAACTGCGCGACGCTAGAACAGCATCCCTGTATTGCATAGCCCCAGTCTCCTTTCAGTCAGCGCAAGAGAAAAGAATAAAGCAGAGTACGGCATGAGTTTCCAGTACAGTTAAATAATAACGCTGAGTTTCTGAAGGAAATCAGAAGTATTCACAAATTATCACTTGGTCACTGATATTTTAATTTAATCAGTAAAAATGGCAAACTAAGACAGAGTCAAAAACTAATTCAAATCCTCCACTAAGAAACACCAACTTTGAAGTCAGACTGAAGAGTTATTCTCTTAAATCAGGCAACAATATCCTATAATACACAAGCACATTAAGTGGATGAGAGACATAAGAAAAGATCCATATTTCTACAAGGCACATAATATCCTGGAACTAGATAAATACACAGTCATAAGTAACAGTAATTAGGGATAAAAATATAGAGGGTCAGTGTGGCATGCAAAGAGTACGTAACCTTTATTCGGCGCATGGACACACCCTCATTTACAGGCTATCTCCCCCAACCAGCGAACCAGGTTGCTAAGAGTTGGTGATGGGGCCCCATCGTTCAACTAGTGACCAGGTTCTAGCCAATAAGAAGGTGGGATTGGCAATCGCAGAGGTTATGTGGATACCGCTCTCCTGTCTGCCCTTGTCATTCCCATTCTAGAGCTGGTTGAGCACGGTCTGCTATCTTGTGGCTTCTATTTCTGCCTTGCTTACCGTGACGTGCACTATACTTATTACTGTACATAGTGTACATATTGCTGTTCTAAATTGGTGAAGGATAATATAAGTCTAAACTTTTTCTGCTGTGTTTCTTTTGCTCCCATTACACCTGGGATAACAGGCCTTTGAAATCCTAGGTTGTAATAGTCAGTAATGAGTTTAGTTGCTTGTAAGATTAGAAATAAGTAAATTCTTCTTAAAACAGACAGTACACAGCAGTGTCTTCTGTGAATCTCTTATTACAAGCCTCGTAGCTCAGCGGTAAAGAGCTCTAAACTTTACAGGTAAAAGCAAAACGAAATTTAATTAAGAGACGAGTTTTTCAGGTATACTGGGTTCTGTTCACACCCAAAATGACGTGACTTTTTTGTTTACAGGTTAGGTGAGATGTATGGTTAGTCTCCTTACCCTTATTGCCCTTGTTCACATAAAACTATATACCGTATTTCGCGGCTTATTAAACGCATTTTTTCCATAAAATGCCTCCAAAAAGTACCCTGCGTCCTATAAACTGAAAATCAGTGACGGAGCTATAAGTTTGGGGTGTGGGGTGGGCTGTAGCTCTCTCAGTTACGTCCGATACCGAGCCAATGAAACTAAAAGAAGTCTTTATAAGCCGCGTCTTATAAGCCGCGAAATACGATAGATACCTGGGAGTTAGTCAGCTGTTTTGAGACAATCATAAAAGGATTTCTAAAATTATTGCATGAAAACCGAAACAAATTATATGTCTATATATTTAAAGAAACAGAATCTGAATACGCGAACAGTTGCTTTACATTTTCTCTAGTTACATCCCCTAAACCAGGGGATCGAGCCACGGATCTCAGTGTGTAAGCCGAGTACACTAGTAATCCAGCTATGGATGATGTTGGTAGTAGTGTAGTGGTGTTGGTAATAGTGTATTGGTGTTGGTAATAGTGTATTGGTGTTGGTAATAGTGTAGTGGTGTTACATTCAGTGTCTGTGTAACGGTGAATATCAAGTTATAAACGAAACTCTCTCACGAGTACTTAATAAGTCAAAGTAATTTTTTTCGTATTATTCTAGGCTAAATTATAATTTTCATGAAAAAATACTAATTCCGTAGGACCTTCCATTGAGAGGTAATCACGTTCAATCTAAGAAAATGTAGAGCAGTTTCAATTTCTTGGATCTTGTGCCCTTTAAGGTCTCAAGGTGTGTTACTTATCAGTTACTCAAGTGTTGCACATGTGTAATATTACCCAAGTGTTGCATATATGTAGTATTCATCTATGCATGCATGATTTTGTTTTCTTCATTGGTTTCTGTCTTCTACTGGCAGTCGAAGTCAGAGGACTCTATGGCAGTGCTCTACATCGTCTTCGTGCTCTTCTTCTATGCCGCCTCACTCCTCATCCTCCTCCTGAAGTACCTCCGGAGGGAGAGGGAATCTTCACGTCTCCAACAGTTCTATGATGATTACATGGATAGCAAACACCCTAGGTAAGTACTCCACAAAGAATATAAAGGCACAGTAACACTGGGTCGTATCCATAGATGCAAATTTGTCATTGCGTCTAGGGAAGGCCGATATGTTAACGACATCTTGATCAATGTACTTTAACCTTAGTATCTTAAGACACCAGCTCAGCCTAGTTGATCCATCAGTTGAGTTCACTTTGAAGAAGAGATGCACGATTCTCTCATTTTTGTTTGGACGTCTTTCTCTTCAAGAGCGACGATCGCTCGTATTAAATTCTGCTCTGGAAAGAATACGAATTAGGGTAACCCGATTCATTTCACCTCAAACCACGATCAATAATCTTGATCTCCAACAGTGAATTCCTCTTAGTAGATCATATATATATAAGTAGAGAGCTTACTCACCCCAAAATTCCTTCTCATCATCTACTGCAAAAGCAACACCTCCTACATTTCCTTAACCTAAAACAGACAGTTAATACTTCCCACCGGGCCTACGGCAGTAGGCAAAATTCCCTTTCTTCAGAAAGCCATCAACAGCATCTCTGTACTCTTCACTGAAACAATAAAAGACTTAACTCCAACAAGAACACAGACACAGCAAGAGTTTACAGTATACATTGCTGTGGTTGTGACTGATTTTGTGAGGGCTATACATCAAGGTATTTAGGTACTAGACTGAAAGACCACAGTTAAGCATGTAGAATGGATGATACACACAGATACATGAAGAATACCTCTAAGCACATATTGGTGAATGAGACACCTGTACAACACCTGTGTGTTTTCACTGAGAGACTTATCGCTCACCAGACGCTTTCAGTCTAATACAGATACATGTGGGTGAAACCTCTTATAGTAGAGCCAGTGGAAGGAACAGAGAGATTCAGGAATTGAAGACGTGGTCATGCATGGCCGAGGACCACTAATGGATGCAGATTAAACCCAGAAAATGGGCCAGACATTTAGGAATCTAATTGTGGAAACACGATATCGTTTCTAACAAGAAAAATCAACAATAACACAGGAGTTTTGACATGTCTTTTTACCACTTTTACAACTATTGTGTTATTGTTATTAATATAATAATAATAATAATAATAATAATAATAATAATAATAATAATAATAATAATAATAATAATAATAATAATAATAATAATAATAATAATAATAATAATAATTATTATTATTATTATTATTATTATTATTATTATTATTATTAAAATAATATTCGTTATTGTTCTTACTGCTGCTGTACTTCAGCTTTGGCTGGTACGTTGGACATTGCGGTTGTAACACTGCGGCTTCTGCTGTGGCAGCTACTACTCTACAGTTAACCGGTGCCCCGTGGTCTGGTGGTTAAAGCTCTTGCTTCACACAGCGAGTGTCTGAGTTCGATTCCCAGCGAGGGTAGAAACATCGGACGTGTTTCCTTACACCTGTTGTCAATGTTCACCAATCAGTAAAATGGGTACCTGGGAGTTAGTCGACTGCTGTGGGTCGCATCCTGGGACAAAACTGACCTAATTTGCCCGAAATGCTTTGCCACTGATGTCAGCTAGACCTTGTACATGTGCCTGTAGTAAATGAAGATACTATAAAGGAGTAAGGAGGAATGTGAGACAAAGAGGCAGCTGAATTGTGATGGTTTGGCCCATACCATTTAGTACTTACAATAAGTGTGAAATTTCACACCTAGCCGGCCAGGTTGAGTTATTCTGACGCAAATCCCTCAGTTGAAACATAGCTTCTCTTTCAGCCTAGTGGTGCACTACGACAACACCGGGAAATTGCTTCACACGCAGACCTCAACGGAGTCTTCAGGAGCCTTGCCAGATCCAACCAACATCTCAACCACCACACACGTCATGTTGCCCACCTTCACTCCCTCCATCACGCCCACCATCACTCCCTCCATCACGCCCACCATCACGCCCGACCCCACCCCTCCTTCTTCCCCGATGGATTCTACGTTGCCTGTCTACCCCACTGAGATCGGCCAAGATTAATGGGGCAGGGAAGTACTGACGATAGTCATGTACTAATACCTGCTAAAGAAAAATCTTTTGGTGTGTTAGGACTCGGTCATCAGTTTTTGACGTGACTGTAGACTTCAGTCTTCCCCAGACTTGACTTGTCTATCTAATTATAGACGAGAGCATTCTGTACTCTTTAAACCTGATATGCAGTACTTAGCCAGAATTCGTACTCAGATCTGACATAGTTCTAGTATTTCCTACCTAGAGCACTCCAACACTCATCCTGTACTCTCCCAGAGCACTTCTACATCCATCCTGTACTCTCCAATCTGTACTCTCGCAGAGCAGCTCAACACCCACCCTGAACTCTCCCACACCCATCCTGTACTCTCAAAGAACACTCCTATATTAATCCTGTACTCTTCGAGAGCACAACCACACCCATCCTGTTCTCTTCAAGAGTACACCGACACATATACTGTACTCTCCCAGAGCACTTCTACACCCATACTGTACTCTCTCAGAGCACTTCTACACCCATACTGTACTCTCCCAGAGCACTTCTACACCCATACTGTACTCTCCCAGAGCACTTCTACACCCATACTGTACTCTCTCAGAGCACTTCTACACCCATACTGTACTCTCTCAGAGCACTTCTACACCCATACTGTACTCTCCCAGAGCACTTCTACACCCATACTGTACTCTCTCAGAGCACTTCTACACCCATACTGTACTCTCTCAGAGCACTTCTACACCCATACTGTACTCTTCCAGAGCACTTCTACACCCATACTGTACTCTCCCAGAGCACTTCTACACCCATACTGTACTCTTCCAGAGCACTTCTACACCCATACTGTACTCTTCCAGAGCACTTCTACACCCATACTGTACTCTTCCAGAGCACTTCTACACCCATACTGTACTCTCTCAGAGCACTTCTACACCCATACTGTACTCTCTCAGAGCACTTCTACACCCATCCTGTACTCTCTCAGAGCACTTCTACACCCATACTGTACTCTCCCAGAGAACTTCTACACCCATCCTGTACTCTCCCAGAGCGCAGTAGATAGTTAATTCACTTACAACTTCTTCCTGGACCTCACTCAACTAATCTATTTGCATAGAAATATTTTCTGCATTCATTTTACACTGATTCTTTAGGAACCTAATCTTCAGGCCCAGGACGATTTTTCATGTTGCATTATAAATCAATATAAAAAAGTCACAAATTTGCCAGCTAAACTACTTTATACATTAGATAATATTCATTAATAGAAGTTCATCTGAGACATTAACAAGGAGACGTGTCGACCAGGCTATAAGATGCTCTGATAAAACTATTTTTGCCACTAAATCAGGTCTCCCGAATCTGTAAATTTTTTGAAGAGTTTGTGTTTTATACTTGTGATGGTCAATGTTTTTTTTTTTGTCAATAAAGACTTACCTCACTATGAAGGTCTTTTAAATACATTTATTTATTGAAATGGTACATAATTATGGTTTTGAATCGGTTGAAGACATTATGAATATTGTGACTAACCCAGATGGCAGGCAATCCTTAATACTAAAGAAATTGAACATCAAAATGGTATACAATACCGACAGGTTGGTATACCACTAAAGAAATTATTGAACGTGTAATAACTTTTATATTGGAAGACTACCTCTGAAACTACCGTAGCTACTGAACCATAGTGACTTCAGTTTTGTTTGGAGGAAACATGAAGGACTGTTGTAACTACTGAAGCATTGTATAAAAGTTACGTCTGCAAAATAGGTTGTAGCATTTCACTACATTTCTCTCTCTTGTAAACAAACAAGAATAACTACAATAATTAGAATCGCATTTCTATACACAAGTGTAACTTTTGGTACTAGCCTGTGCTAGTGAAACACAAGTGTAACTTTGGTACCAGCCTGTGCTAGTGAAACACAAGTGTAACTTTGGGACCAGCCTGTGCTAGTGAAACACAAGTGTAACTTTGGTACCAGCCTGTGCTAGTGAAACACAAGTGTAACTTTGGTACCAGCCTGTGCTAGTGAAACACAAGTGTAACTTTGGTACCAGCCTGTGTTAGTGAAACACAAGTGTAACTTTGGTACCAGCCTGTGTTAGTGAAACACAGTGTAACTTTGGTACCAGCCTGTGCTAGTAAAACACAAGTGTAACTTTGGTACCAGCCTGTGTTAGTGAAACACAAGTGTAACTTTGGTACCAGCCTGTGCTAGTGAAACAAAAGTGTAACTTTGGTACCAGCCTGTGTTAGTGAAACACAAGTGTAACTTTGGTACCAGCCTGTGCTAGTGAAACACAAGTGTAACTTTGGTACCAGCCTATGCTAGTGAAACACAAGTGTAACTTTGGTACCAGCCTGTGCTAGTGAAACACAAGTGTAACTTTGGTACCAGCCTGTGTTAGTGAAACACAAGTGTAACTTTGGTACCAGCCTGTGCTAGTGAAACACAAGTGTAACTTTGGTACCAGCCTGTGTTAGTGAAACACAAGTGTAACTTTGGTACCAGCCTGTGTTAGTGAAACACAGTGTAACTTTGGTACCAGCCTGTGTTAGTGAAACACAAGTGTAACTTTGGTACCAGCCTGTGCTAGTGAAACATAAGTGTAACTTTGGTACCAGCCTGTGCTAGTGAAACACAAGTGTAACTTTGGTACCAGCCTGTGCTAGCGAAACACAAGTGTAACTTTGGTACCAGCCTGTGGTAGTGAAACACAAGTGTAACTTTGGTACCAGCCTGTGCTAGTGAAACACAAGTGTAACTTTGGTACCAGCCTGTGCTAGTGAAACACAAGTGTAACTTTGTTACCAGCCTGTGCTAGTGAAACACAAGTGTAACTTTGGTACCAGCCTGTGTTAGTGAAACACAAGTGTAACTTTGGTACCAGCCTGTGGTAGTGAAACATAAGTGTAACTTTGGTACCAGCCTGTGCTAGTGAAACACAAGTGTAACTTTGGTACCAGCCTGTGCTAGTGAAACACAAGTGTAACTTTGGTACCAGCCTGTGCTAGTGAAACACAAGTGTAACTTTGGTACCAGCCTGTGCTAGTGAAACACAAGTGTAACTTTGGTATCAGCCTGTGCTAGTGAAACACAAGTGTAACTTTGGTACCAGCCTGTGCTAGTGAAACACAGTGTAACTTTGGTACCAGCCTGTGCTAGTGAAACACAAGTGTAACTTTGGTACCAGCCTGTGCTAGTGAAACACAGGTGTAACTTTGGTACCAGCCTGTGCTAGTGAAACACAAGTGTAACTTTGGTACCAGCCTGTGCTAGTGAACACAAGTGTAACTTTGGTACCAGCCTTTGCTAGTGAAACACAAGTGTAACTTTGGTACCAGCCTGTGCTAGTGAAACACAAGTGTAACTTTGGTACCAGCCTGTGCTAGTGAAACACAAGTGTAACTTTGGTACCAGCCTGTGCTAGTGAAACACAAGTGTAACTTTGGTACCAGCCTGTGCTAGTGAAACACAGTGTAACTTTGGTACCAGCCTGTGCTAGTGAAACACAAGTGTAACTTTGGTACCAGCCTGTGCTAGTGAAACACAGTGTAACTTTGGTATCAGCCTGTGCTAGAGAAACACAGTGTAACTTTGGTACCAGCCTGTGCTAGTGAAACACAGTGTAACTTTGGTACCAGCCTGTGCTAGTGAAACACAAGTGTAACTTTGGTACCAGCCTGTGCTAGTGAAACACAGGTGTAACTTTGGTACCAGCCTGTGCTAGTGAAACACAAGTGTAACTTTGGTACCAGCCTGTGCTAGTGAAACACAAGTGTAACTTTGGTACCAGCCTTTGCTAGTGAAACACAAGTGTAACTTTGGTACCAGCCTGTGCTAGTGAAACACAAGTGTAACTTTGGTACCAGCCTGTGCTAGTGAAACACAAGTGTAACTTTGGTACCAGCCTGTGCTAGTGAAACACAAGTGTAACTTTGGTACCAGCCTGTGCTAGTGAAACACAGTGTAACTTTGGTACCAGCCTGTGCTAGTGAAACACAAGTGTAACTTTGGTACCAGCCTGTGCTAGTGAAACACAAGTGTAACTTTGGTACCAGCCTGTGGTAGTGAAACACAAGTGTAACTTTGGTACCAGCCTGTGCTAGAGAAACACAAGTGTAACTTTGGTACCAACCTGTGCTAGTGAAACACAAGTGTAACTTTGGTACCAGCCTGTGCTAGTGAAACACAAGTGTAACTTTGGTACCAGCCTGTGTTAGTGAAACACAAGTGTAACATGGTACCAGCCTGTGCTAGTGAAACACAAGTGTAACTTTGGTACCAGACTGTGCTAGTGAAACACAGTGTAACTTTGGTACCAGCCTGTGCTAGTGAAACACAAGTGTAACTTTTGGTACCAGCCTGTGCTAGTGAAACACAAGTGTAACTTTGGTACCAGCCTGTGCTAGTGAAACACAAGTGTAACTTTGGTACCAGCCTGTGCTAGTGAAACACAGTGTAACTTTGGTACCAGCCTGTGCTAGTGAAACACAGTGTAACTTTGGTACCAGCCTGTGCTAGTGAAACACAAGTGTAACTTTGGTACCAGCCTGTGCTAGTGAAACACAGGTGTAACTTTGGTACCAGCCTGTGCTAGTGAAACACAAGTGTAACTTTGGTACCAGCCTGTGCTAGTGAAACACAAGTGTAACTTTGGTACCAGCCTTTGCTAGTGAAACACAAGTGTAACTTTGGTACCAGCCTGTGCTAGTGAAACACAAGTGTAACTTTGGTACCAGCCTGTGCTAGTGAAACACAAGTGTAACTTTGGTACCAGCCTGTGCTAGTGAAACACAAGTGTAACTTTGGTACCAGCCTGTGCTAGTGAAACACAGTGTAACTTTGGTACCAGCCTGTGCTAGTGAAACACAAGTGTAACTTTGGTACCAGCCTGTGCTAGTGAAACACAAGTGTAACTTTGGTACCAGCCTGTGGTAGTGAAACACAAGTGTAACTTTGGTACCAGCCTGTGCTAGAGAAACACAAGTGTAACTTTGGTACCAACCTGTGCTAGTGAAACACAAGTGTAACTTTGGTACCAGCCTGTGCTAGTGAAACACAAGTGTAACTTTGGTACCAGCCTGTGTTAGTGAAACACAAGTGTAACTTTGGTACCAGCCTGTGCTAGTGAAACACAAGTGTAACTTTGGTACCAGACTGTGCTAGTGAAACACAGTGTAACTTTGGTACCAGCCTGTGCTAGTGAAACACAAGTGTAACTTTGGTACCAGCCTGTGCTAGTGAAACACAAGTGTAACTTTGGTACCAGCCTGTGCTAGTGAAACACAAGTGTAACTTTGGTACCAGCCTGTGCTAGTGAAACACAAGTGTAACTTTGGTACCAGCCTGTGCTAGTGAAACACAAGTATAACTTTGGTACCAGCCTGTGCTAGTGAAACACAAGTGTAACTTTGGTACCAGCCTGTGCTAGTGAAACACAAGTGTAACTTTGGTACCAGACTGTGCTAGTGAAACACAAGTGTAACTTTGGTACCAGCCTGTGCTAGTGAAACACAAGTGTAACTTTGGTACCAGCCTGTGCTAGTGAAACACAAGTGTAACTTTGGTACCAGACTGTGCTAGTGAAACACAAGTGTAACTTTGGTACCAGCCTGTGTTAGTGAAACATAAGTGTAACTTTGGTACCAGCCTGTGCTAGTGAAACACAAGTGTAACTTTGGTACCAGCCTGTGCTAGTGAAACATAAGTGTAACTTGGTACCAGCCTGTGCTAGTGAAACACAAGTGTAACTTTGGTACCAGCCTGTGCTAGTGAAACACAAGTGTAACTTTGGTACCAGCCTGTGCTAGTGAAACACAAGTGTAACTTTGGTACCAGCCTGTGCTAGTGAAACACAAGTGTAACTTTGGTACCAGCCTGTGCTAGTGAAACACAAGTGTAACTTTGGTACCAGACTGTGCTAGTGAAACACAAGTGTAACTTTGGTACCAGCCTGTGCTAGTGAAACACAAGTGTAACTTTGGTACCAGCCTGTGCTAGTGAAACACAAATGTAACTTTGGTACCAGCCTGTGCTAGTGAAACACAAGTGTAACTTTGGTACCAGCCTGTGTTAGTGAAACATAAGTGTAACTTTGGTACCAGCCTGTGCTAGTGAAACACAGTGTAACTTTGGTACCAGCCTGTGTTAGTGAAACATAAGTGTAACTTTGGTACCAGCCTGTGTTAGTGAAACACAAGTGTAACTTTGGTACCAGCCTGTGCTAGTGAAACACAAGTGTAACTTTGGTACCAGCCTGTGCTAGTGAAACACAAGTGTAACTTTGGTACAAGCCTGTGTTAGTGAAACATAAGTGTAACTTTGGTACCAGCCTGTGTTAGTGAAACATAAGTGTAACTTTGGTACCAGACTGTGCTAGTGAAACACAAGTGTAACTTTGGTACCAGCCTGTGCTAGTGAAACATAAGTGTAACTT